AATGTTGATTCAGATGAGCGTCATCGCGATGTCAGTGTGAAAGTGGATCGATTCACGTATCAGCTATTTTATCAGCAGCTGCAGAAGTAGACTCACTGCAGAAGAAGTCCTTGAATGTCTTCCTGGTTAGATGAGAATCAAACGCTTTTGTTTTCTAATTTCACATTTATTTCGCTGACAGTTTTATATCAACGTGATCATCAACATCAGTAGTGTGGCAGCATATCTCATAACACAGATCGGAACACCTTTAAGTTAACGTTAACATTATTTACTCTCACTTATATTGTGTGCCTGTTTTTGAATGTTGTGAACGTATAAAACAAACCTTTTCTGTTGAATTTACAGATCACAATCTGTTATTTGCCAATCCTTGCGAGATCTTCTATCGAGCCGGCGAAAGAGCGCCAGCAGTTCCAGTTTGAACCGGAGAGGAAGGATTGGATCCCAATCTAGCGTAACTTGCTTCATTCAACGATCTCTATTTGTTCACTTACCGAAATATACGAATGACACTTCCATGAATAGCAACGGCTGTTGGAAAATTTTTATTTGCTCAGAATCTTGGTGGCGGTAGAAACTTTAATTCTTCTTTTTGGAATCACTAGATATCTCTGCTAAGCTGCTTATAACTATCTGTAGCCAACAGTCTTCGTCATTTCTTGAACCGAAAGCAGTATAACAATTTAGAAGCAACTTCTTCCAACGTAGTCGTGATTTCTGTCATATGGTCAGCAGGGCTGCAAGCAAAAACATCCGCTTTCCGATCACAGTGGGAGCCACTAAAAATTTCTTCAATTACTTATGCAATATTTGAGAAGATTTTGAACCAGAATAGCCAGAACATAACCTTTTATGTGATTGGATGACAACCTGCAAAAATTGTGCTTCTTCTTTTTTTTGAAAATCACAATTGCCACTGAGTTTTGCTTTCAGAAGAATACGGAAAACATCATATTCTTCTCTCAAAAGTTTTGTGAAGAGATCTAGCTATCTGATCGACTGTGTATTTGATATAGCTTGCATATATTCTTAATCTTCAACACAGAGTTGTTCAGAGCCACCTAATTTATGTTAGCTTCATGCATGCGATTGAAAGCCTCTAATTCATCACTCACTCAAGTCTAATTTAAGTTTCCCTCTCTAATGCATAAAACGCCATATTGCGACCATTCCTCTTGAGACAAAGTATTTGATGACTCTTAGTCACTGCTTGATAGAACATCTGCATTTTCGTTGCGTTAGTTAAATGGGATGAATGTTAAATTAGAACAAGTTTACGCAGTTCCTCCACTGAGTTCCAAAATAGAGTCATCGTTCCTGAAACTTTTTGAACAAAATCGCTTCACTGTTCGTAGACATCTTCTTGTTAATCTTAGATGAGAAACGAATCTGTTCTCATAGACATAGCATATCATATGACCTTTCCAGACTCTGAAGAAGGCGAACTGCCGAAACGTCAGCTCCCAAATGAAGTTTAATACAACACCTCGTGTTTTTGCTTAAAGAAGAAAATCAGGAATTATATTGAAGCATGCCGAGGTTATTAGACAGTGGGAATGATGATAGAAACATTATTCTCAGCCATGAGCTTTCTGGCCGTTTTTTTTTCCTTTCTTGAAGAAAAGTAAATGACTAACTATTACACCAGATAACTATGTCGCACCTTATTCAAAGAAATAAGGCTTGCAAGCAATATGACTCTCACGCAACATTACAGAAGTGGCTCAGACTTGATGTACATGCTCACTATAATTGTTCAATCTGCTCAAAAATTTATAGTGGTCAGATAGAAATCTTTTTGTTCAAACGCTTTTAGCTGTGATATGATGATATAGATTAACCAAGTGATGTAGAGTGATGTGCAAAACTTTTGCGTTAGGTGGAACTCGAACCGCAATTCACCCGCTACACTACTTAAGCCCGTTTTCCTACCACTCTTTTTGCGCTATAACGCATCTATTTGTCAGCAACCAACCGTCAACGGTTTGGCCCAGGTACTTGGTATCTATTTTGAACCCAGTCACGCTAACAGATATTGGGCACCGGATAATCACATAAAATTCCTTTCATCTGGAAGGTCAGAGCACGCATTCCCGGAGAAGGTGAGATGCGAATTCAAGTCCCGCCCGACGCAAAAGTTTTACACATTATTCTACGTTACTTGGTATATATCTATCATATCATACCACAGCTAAAAGCGATCAAAAGAAAAGAAATCTCATAATTTTTAACTTTTTTGTGTGCATTATTTTTAGTGGTACGATGTTTCCAATACACATAAGAGAACTGAGAGGTGAGTGAGCAAAAATACAACCTCAGACGGGAGTCGAACCCGATTTTCATTCATACCGGAACGCGTGCTACCACTACACCACCGAGGTACTTTTGCGCTACTCATTCTTGAATATCTCTATGTTAGCTACTAGCCACCAACTTCGAACAAGTTTGGTCGGGTGTGAATTCGAAAAGAATTCTGTTTGTTCATTCGATGCACAATATCTGTTGGCGTGACTGGGTTCAGTGTCGATAACGACTACGTGGACCAAACCGTTGATGGCTGGTTGCTGAAAAATAGAGGCATTGTCGCCTAGAAAGAGTGATGGCGCAACGAGCGTCAGAATTGCTACGGGTTAGAGCACGCACCCTCAGATAGAGACAGATGTGGATTCGAGTCCCGCCTGACGTAAAAGTTTCGAACATTACTCTACATCACTGAGTAGATTTATTGTGATTTGATATTATTGAAGTTGACTGCCAACAGTACAGTATCTTGAAAACTTGCGCTAACAAAGAGAATGAATAACAGATTGCATCGTTTCATCCAGCATATAGAAATGACCAGATCAAAAGGGAATCAATATAACCAGCATAACATTTTAACGCAATATTATTCACTTTTCCCGTTAAGTTCCAAATTATGAAGCAAAAAAGAAAGATAGCAATATGTTAAAGCTCAAAAGAGCAGAAAACAAAACATGATAAATTTGTGTGCCTATCATTTATCAAGTGATTCCTATTTTCGTCAATGACAGTTTTATACTGAAACCTTTTGCTTTCAAAAGTCAAGGAAATATTGCATACATCTCTAAGAACAGCTATCACCGAACGCTTACTAGAATTTGATATAGAGAATAAAGGACGTGTTGACTCAACTCATAAGGGCATAATATTCAACGGTTTGCAGATGCCCATAGAGAGTGCAACATAAGAGTATAGGAGATCTAATTTGAAATATGTTGATATTAGACCATATTACAGTGTTGGCGGTTGAATGGTTGCTTCAACATATTTTATCTATCCCATGTAGGACAACTCCAAGAGGTTTTTTTGATTGTTGAGTAAGTAATTGAACTGATAATTTTCTGTTAGAAGAAAATAGATGAAGAAATGACCCCTTTCGCTGGATTTTTCACAAGAGCGCTAGAAATCATTCGAGAGCTCGAAACTCAGGAGACTGCTATGCGTGATCGTCTCTAAAAAAGCCTTTTTATAGTGCTGTATAACACAAAATAAAATTATACTTTACACACGTCACGCTCTTTTACTCTTACATCGCTGGAAGCAGGAAAAACATATGAACATTCATACGTCTTACTTATAGCTTCTTTCGAATCGTAGAAAATCATAAATACAAGAAAGAAAAAACGCGCTACACATGTGAATCACGTCAACGCGACTGATTGGTCGTGTATCGCCCACGATCACGCTCGCGCACAAGGCGACAAGCAAATGAACGGCGTATGTGAACGCAATCTTATTTTCACTGCTACACTGCATTGAAGCGGTCTATTCAAAAAATAATCACAGCGCTGGAATTATAGCAACTTACGATACGAATGATTGCGTATAATCCAGGGGAGGAGCTGTGAACTGCGCTACATACGCATGTGGAAGAGAAACTTTTCTGCTACGGCGCTATAAAAAGGCATTTTCAAAAAACGATCACGTAGCGGGATCCTCCATGATTTACTTTCCAATGATCGCTAACACTTTTATGGAAAGTTTTCAACTAAAAAGTGTTTATTTAAATGTTTTCGTCTGACAGAAAAGAAGCCTTAAACTTCATGGAATATAGCTGTGATAGCCAGAAAAACTACCTCGCCCTTTGAATAGGCGAGCAAACTTTTCTAGAAATAATCTGAGATGATGTCACACTTCAAGCAAATGTAGTATGATTGTCAACTAGCTTTCACTGCTCCTCTTTTGTACTTAAGATGAACAACGTGAGAATCCGTAATTATCACTTGTCTTAGCTTTCAAAAAACGAGGTTGCATCGTAATTGTATCACTAAGTAATACAGTTTATGCCAGAATCGAACCAGCGATGCTCTCTTTATAAGATACACGCTCAATCCTTGAGCCAATGAAATCCGATATCCCATAGCCTGTCATCTTCTGACCAATTTGAGCTTTGACCTCGATTCCTCCTCTGGTACATCCAGCACTGTCATAGCCCTCAAAAACGACTGTGTGATGGCGACTTGTTTTCCTTCAGGAGCTTGCATGCAGTAATGTCCTCCTTGAAAGTACTTTGGAATGATACCAGCGAATTCTGATCACGTAATTCCACAACTCGAATTCATCCGTGAAACCGGTCCCATGGCCAAAATTGACGATGAAAATCTTTTCCATAGGTGCTGCCGTGAGATCAGCTCCACAGCCCGGTGGCTGGAAAGACTTTTATATTAGTTTTGCAATAACGCTCGCTCATAGCATCTTTACCACTCGTTGATCACAGAAAGTGCCACCGTAGCCACCCGGACAAATATGAATGGAACAAGTTTCAGGGAGGAAATTCCCTGTTAGCGCTTGACGGATGTCGACTTGCTGCATACTTTTAAAAAAAAGTTTTTCTGTCAAACTGTTCTCGAGTTCTAATTCGAAATCGCCGCTTTCGTTACTGTTGCATCCGTGGTGATCGCTAATCGTGTAAATGTCCGAGAAGGCAAGAAAATCAGATCCCCTTTTTCTGATAGAGCTCATTCCTTACAGTGATGGTACGCCCATGGTCAGCAGAAAAGCTGTAAGACACGTTATTATACAAAATAATTGGAAACAGTGGCAAGTGCATCGAGCAAACCTCAGTTCTCCATAATGCATACTGCTGTCGTAATCGTATGAAAGACCCTAGACATCTGTTACACTTTTGCTTATTATATTGAATTCCTCGACATGATCTGACTAAACTATGCTCTTTGTCCTGCGCAATGGTTATTCCAGATTCGTAAAAGCTCGCAATAACTTTTGGAAAGCGATTGTAACAAAGTTATCACGATCATATCGCTGCAGTGTGTGTGTGAACAATCCAAGAACATGGTCAATGTCGTACACAGCTGTACTTAAGTGAAATTTCTACTATATGATAGAAGTGTAATTTTTCAGAATTCTCAGTTTGAATAAGACATACATTCACGTTATCATCAAGACAGAGAAACCGATCTCCGCCGAGACTTCCGACAGTTGCCGAACATTCGTTTGCTTTGACCACATTAACCTTGTCTTATGCTCAAAATCTTAATGTAGAAAATTTATCTGCTCTGTTAGCTTTTCTAGTTTTCATTGAATAAAACAGAGTCAGTACTCGAACACTAATGGGTAGCATGTTATAATACCGCATAAACTTCGGTTTCTCTCGACGTCTAATGGTGGGTGACTATAAAAAGTTAGGACGTACATGAAAATGAGGCTCAAGAGGTCTAAAGAATCAAGTTTATCAGTTGATTAATATATTTGCTGAAGTCAGGAGAGAGGGCAAAGTGAATGTAATGCCAGCATATTTGTATGGACTGCTTGTGACGTCGGAGATCACTTATGAAGGAGACGAACAAATATGAGGTACAATACAATACCTTTTTAGAAACCCCAACTGATAAAAGAAAGAAGTTATCAGTTCTCCTCTTATATGCCATTGATAACTATCTACAGATGAGTGGTACTGGGTTTGCAGTTCGACAAAACGAATGCATCAGTAGGATAAAGCTTTTGGCGTTGATCAATCCCTAGGGCATGTGCCATGCATTCGTCCAATTTTTTGCTTCGTTTGAGGCGAATGTATGCACATGTGGCCTTCTACAATGACTCGCGGTGGCTTTAACTGCTGTATCGAGTCAGTGCTGCTTATGCTCTCAGATAAGTCTCGGACCAGTCTGTCACCAGTTTGTCGGCCCCGGAGTGATGGATGGCTTAGTGAGCCATGAGCGAGAGGCCAAACCATCGATCTTGTGTGCGACGTAGAGCTCCTCTGACCACTGCGCTGTATGCCCCTTGTTGTCAATAAAGAATGATCTAAGCTCTAACATGAAAATTCTGGATAGGCGACCAAACGATGCAGATTTCTTCTCGCCGATCATCCACAAAAATAAGTGGCCTCCTACGCTGATTCTTAACAATAAGAGCTATTGTAATATGGACCACACTAATAATCTCACAGAAAGTAAGACAAAAAAACTACATTCATCCTTATAAAACGCTTCTTCCATATTTGTGTCCCCTTAAATTCCAAATTTCGTCATTATAGTTGAGACAACTTGGTGGTAAAGACTCTTTCACTCAGAATCCACTCATGTTCAAATAGATCTACTGAACTTAAAGTTATGCAATTGCTCTATGATGATGCATTCAGCAGACCTCGAGGTAAATGCATGCAGCGAATTCAATTTGAAAAACTCTTCACTGAAATGTATTATGGTCATGAAATATGAAGAAACCAAAGAAAAAAGGCAGCAAATGAAGCAGATTTTCTCAGCTGTGTAGTAAATTTGCAAATTACAAGATCAACAACATTCTTACTGGGGTGGTCAAAAAAGGCGTCAGTAGTGTAACTGGTTAGAGCAAGCGCTCCCGGATAGAAATGCGGGTTTGAGTTCCGGCCGACGCGAAAGTTTTGCACGTCACTCTACATCACTGGATATAACAGTATTTGATTATTGGTAAGTAGATATTAAATAATAACTTGTGCTGGAGATCAATATACAATTATTATCTTGACACGAAATGAACGACAACTATATAGCGAAGAAAATTAGGCCTCCAGAGCAGAATAATCAATCGCGATAGATATCAGACGGTGGAGTCTTCAAGGTGTCCTCATCTTTTTCGAAAAATTCGAGCGCGATATGAGTCAAAACAGATATCGTTGCATGTGCATCTGGCTATATCTGAATACGAGTCCCTTATATCAACTAGGCTGGGTTTGATATGATTTGCAGTCGGTTTTTTGCATTCCTTTGATTTCGACTACACTCCAAGAAACAGGGACACTTCTGTTCTCTTGATCCTCATCAGAATACAAAAAAACACACTAAGAGAAAGTTTAAGAACGTATACTCATTTATTCACAAAAGCGCTATCTGAATTATCTCGCAGTAATACTTTAGAACAA